GGATGTCGCTAAGTATGATTTGTAGTTCTTGAACTTGGGATATGACAGTCTTGCTGTCAACCATTTTATTGTCCAAAAAACGATCGATAATGAATTTCTTTGTACCGGCATCTTCGGTTTTGTACTTTCTGTCCAAAGATACCCACAGTTCTTTTACGGACTTAGAATTGCAGTACACATTATATAATGTGTTATCTAGTCCATTGAGTACAAAATTTCTGCACAAGAAATCAGAATACTTCCATGCATCAACCCCAACCAATTTTTCAGCATCACAGTTTTGCTCGATATATGAAAACACATCTTCTTTGAGAAATTTAGTGAGATTTAATGTTGTCAAATAAAAAAGCATTTTTTGTTGCCAACGTTTGAAATCTGATCCATTAAATTTTTCTGATTTTTCCCTGGTCGTATTTGGGAGTGTGGTACTAGAAATTGCCATTTTTGAAACACAATCAGAAGATCAACCGTAAGAAGGAGTAGAAACAGAAACAGAATAATAGCCAAATTCGTTTTAAGATTGCTGTTTCTATAGTTTAAAGTTACTCATTCGAAAACAATCCGACAGAATCACCTGAATGTAAGAAATGATCAACAGGATCCAAAATGTAATTCGAGTTCACCGACTTCACGATGTTTTCTTAAAATGAATTTGCTACATTCAATGGTGCTAAAGGCGTCCAGTAATCGTTTTCCATGATAGAACGAATTTTTGTCTTCTACAGAAGTAGCACTGCAATCTGCAGGAGTTCCAACGAACTCAACGAAGTGTGTTTTATTTCGAGATAATATCAGAGCGAGAGAGAGGAGAATGAGATTCAAAGCACAGAAAGTTTGCAATGAAAATTGTGTAAATTTTCTGGTAGAGAGGCAGGCTATTTATAGACTTGTTCGTAGCCATTCGAATGGTCGTCACCTTTTAAACAAACCTCAAAAACCCGGAACAGAATGTTGTTCTAAAAGTCGCATTTGTTACGTTGGTTAACAGTCGGCTAATAGTTGACTGTTTGATCGGTTAACAGACGACTGTTAAACAATCCATCTAGACCAAAAAATCACTCGGAATAAACCAAAAATTTAAATTTCATAATGTACCCAAGAATTTGATTATTAAATAAAATTTGTCCAAAAAGTTAATATAGTGCAAAGGTCCACCCATACCCGTACTCGAACCGTCCGACGGCGGCGCGCGCACGTGTAGGTTTATGACCGAATCCAATAGGATATAGGTCTTCCCCTTTCCAAAAACTATTGGTACCTCTTGGGGCCCAAACTCAATTCCAAACTTTCATCTTATAAACCACACCAAAGTTTCCTAATTTTCCTATGTGGGATAAGTGTTTGGAAAATCAAATTCTTCCATAATACTTAGTTTTATGTGGGTTACTTTAACACTTAGGGTGTGTTTGATTACATTTATTTTCCATGGAAAATATCAATTTTTCACCCAAATTCCTCGTTGAAGTGCTTGATTGTTATTTTTTTTCATGGAAAACATTTTCCAACTTTTGAAAATATGCCTAATTTTCCTTGTTTTTAAGGAAAATATTTTCCTTAAAAACAAGGAAAATTAGGCATATTTTCAAAAGTTGGAAAATGTTTTCCATGGAAAAAAATAGCAATCAAACACTCCAAGTGAAAATTTGGATGGAAAACTAATATTTTCCATGGAAAATAAATGTAATCAAACACACCCTTAATATTTCATTCAATTTTAAATGGTTTTCGACAAATAAATATATCACGTTAATTATCTTGCGGAGTAGAACGTAAATATGCTAGGTCCTGTATTAATTACAAGATGGGTCCTACTGAAATTTGGGCTCAAAGTTGACCCATTTCATAACCATTTTTGCCAACACGTATTTCTGCTAGAAAAACTTCTCCAACTCTACGGTGGTTATGAATTTCATTTGCACGTCATTGAACTTCATCCATATAATTGTAAATCTATATATATATATATATATCAGTCCAATAATTAAGGTCTTTCTGAACTTATGGTTTTTTAATTGCTGGAGATTTTCCTCTTGATACGGTTATTAGCTGTCAATCCTACTTTTCTGACGGACCACCTGCTCCTTTGTATTCATATCAAAGGGATCATATCTCTCAAAATTGATATTTTCCTTTTAAAAGAAGCATTTGTTTGGAAGATATGCAGGAAGCATGCATGATTTTATTCTCTTTCTTGCATGAATCAGCCTATAATAGTGTTAGAGATTTACTATTAATTAATCAATAGTTGCAAGGTTATTTAATTACAAGAAATTAACTTTTTTTTTCTTGCATCAATTATGAAAGATAATTGTAATATAAATCTCGTTTAGCCCTGGTTTGGTTTACATAAAAATCAGATTGTCATAAAAGGTTGATAGAATATGTGGTTGAAAAGTTATGTGTCCCATAAAATATTTGATTAAAATTATCGGTTGACTTTAACAATTATCTTTTAATTCAAATTTTTAGTTGAACCAAATAGAGGCTTAAAGTATTTGTAGCAACATTCCATGGGCCTGTTTGGGAGTGATTTTGAGAATTGATTTTTTGACCGTTAGGATAAAAGTGGGATCCACTTGTGAGAGAAGAAGTTAAATATGAACGCCGAAATAGTGAAATAACGGTAAAAAATCAATTTTTTGGGCCAAAAAATCACACCCAAACAAGCTGCATGTATAAATTTACAGAGGATTTTGGGTAAAAATAAATTTGTAATGGCTAACAATTATTGTGGTAGACTTTTTGTGAAAATAATGGACCATCAACCATTAAGATCATGTAATATCCAGCCTTCGTGAAAGTATTGTTTTCAAATATGTTAGTATGCAAAATTAGGCACGATTCAATGATAAGGGTGAAAAAAAATATTGAAGAAAGGCCGTAAAAAATAAGCCCGTACATATAGATGGTGCTTTAGGAAAAAAATAAAAATAAAAATGAAGGAAGAAAACAAACAAAAAATTTATTCACTACTTGATCTAAAAAGATTCGTCTCCTCTAAAAGCCTAGCTCATTATTCTTAATATTTAGGGAAAAAATGGTTCCTATCAATATTTGAGAAAAATAAGTCAATCTCTTGAAATTTGAAAAATCAGAGAGTAACTAATTATGTGATTTTTATAAAATAAGTTAGAGTAACTAATTACTCCATATAATTGTAACTAACAAATGTGGTGAATGGTTATAATTAAAGTTTGTGTCTCCAATATTGTATAACACATATTCTGGAAACTCCTTCCTTTCCAGATACGTGAGGCCAATAGAATTGCACTGATTATTACAAACAATTAAAGCTTCCAAAAATAAGGAGATTTGAAGGAATTAATGCACAAAATTTTTTGCTGACTTCAAGACGATCATAGTATTGTCCCAACTCTCAAGGTATTAAGAATTTTGTGATTCATTTTGACGAAAATGACTTTCATGCCCGCTGTGTATTGTTGTAAATTGTTGAGGTGACTTAATGTCAGCGATCTCATTTCAATGAATAATTTATGATTTTACTAAGCTCTCATTCTTCTCCAAGTTTATGGTTTAATTTAACCTTACTAAGTTTCTGTTGTTACAATTGCTGGTAATGTATTGTGACCTACGAATTTACTAAGAATATTCATTTTGTGACTTATAACCTACATCTAGTGGTGACCTTACTAATATAAGCAATTCAGGGTTGTAGGAAATCTAAAAACTAAATGAAGTGCTATTGTGAATAAATGATGCACAATAATATTTTGCAGAATTGTGGCTGGATTTAGTGCTTGTTTTGGGTTTCGTTATAATCATCTTATAATTTAAAGTCCAAATCTAACATTAACTTTTACCCACATTCATAGTTACTACCAACTTGTTATCTATACATTTTGTGAGATTCATTACTTTTCTTCGTTAACCGCATTATAAATTTCCAAACAAGTACAAATTGAACGGTCACACACAGATAATTGTGAACTCTGATGAAAGATTTTTATGAATATAGTGATTTCATTGACGGGAATTGTATTTGGGAGAGAGTTTTTTCAAGTTGAAGATTTTGGTGATATTACAATTTATTTTGTTATTTCATATTAATTACAAGACAACAGTGGGTTTATGTTATGAGTTGAGCTGCCTCACTATTTCTTAAAGTGTTTAGGCTTATTAAATTGTATTTTACCCACCCCAGTTAATTAGTCGCGTTCTTTGATTACATGATTTATGCCTCAACTTCAAGGGCTGCTATCTGCTGTACGCGTGGCTCACTTGCAACCCTTTGATTTGTGTAGTTTCGCCTCGGTATTTATACTCTTGGACATTTCATCTTTGAGAGAGACTATTCATTCCTCTTCTCTCAAATGTTCTTTCTCTGTTTGGACTAGGGTTTCTCTAAAATTGGTAATTTTTTATCTTCGTGCTGTAATCTCTGTATTGTTGTGTGTGACAGATTTTGGTTACCATATTTGTAAAAGCAGAGGCTAGAGGGAACTTGAAGAATCATTGATTTTTTCATATATTTGTACGATTTCTTGGTGATTTTAGTGGATCTAGAGCCTTATCATTTAGTCGATGCTCAACCGATGAGTAGGTCTCTGTGACTGAACATCTGGACCCTTTACAGATGAAAAATCTTCTGTATTCTTGTTCTTTAATATTTTGTATTTTTGTGTTTTTAACGATCCAAAAAAAAGTTTTAATTAATTTTTTCGGTTTTTATTGCACTGTTGCAATAAGAAACCTAGCCTCCTTTGTTTGTTTGTTTGTTTTATTTACTTGCCAATATTCACTCTTGTCCAATAGCATGTACCAAAATTAAATAAATAAGAATTATGATGATTAGTGTTGATATCCGACCAGAAGTTAAACTCCTCTAAAGTACGAAAACACGAGGATGATCTGGTTTGCAATGGAATATTTTTAACAAAATCAATATTCATTAAAATATTCAACAAGATTATAGTGGTGGGGTCTTTTTCATTTTTATACAGATTTTGTAGGTAATCGTAGCATTGAGGGCCATAGAGAGATCCCAACACCCTAAAAACGCACCTTCTTCTTTATAAACGCCACTGAAGTACAAGAAAAAAGGCTTGTATCAGAGAATCTTGTATGATCTACGGTTGAGATGTTTCCTCTACAATCCGGCGATGATCTGGTCTTTCAGCCCCCTTCTGTTATAAAACGAGATCAAGTCCTGCAAGATCCTACTATGAATAATACTTTAGTGGAGAATAGTAATCACAGTACTAGCAGATAGGAAAAGGGAGAGCAGAGATCATCAGGTATCCAAGAAAATAAGGATGGGAGTACTTCTGATGGATCCTATATTCGGAAACTTATGCATAGAGATTTAGAAAGACAAAGAAGGCAAGAAATGGCTCATCTTTATGCTTCTCTTCGATCAATTGTTCCTGTTGAATATCTAAAGGTGAATTCATTATTAAATCTGTTGCACTTCTTAAGGATCCGATTGCTTTAGATCCTAGTAGATCCAATAAGAATTATGCAGTCAACTCCAAATTTATCGACAACAGGATTTAATTTAATTTGTTGTTAGATATACAGATCTAACATGATACTCGTGGTGTTTTAGGGTAAGAAGATCATATCAGATCATATGCAAGGGACTATAAATTACATAACAGATATGCAAGAGAATATCATACAATTACGTTTACAGAGAGATAAGCCAAAGAAGTTGTCAAATTCAGGCAACCTTAGCGACGAGGACGGAAGTTCCACTAGTTTTTCGCATAGTTCAGTCACAGTGAACCCCTGCCGAGATGGTGCAGAAATTCTAATCGGTAGCAGTTTAAAAGAGGAAGGGTTTCCACTATCAAGAGTTCTTGTGGAATTGCTTGAGAGAGGGCTTAATGTTATTAGCTATGTTTCTACAAAAGCAAATGAAATGTCACTCCATATAATTCAGTGCGAGGTACAATTTGTGGATTAATTTATACACTGTTGGAATTAGGGTTTCATCTGTTATCCATTGCTTTGTGATTCGAAATATTTGAATTCTCTTATTTATCATCCTTCCAGGCCAGCGATATCAGATGCAATGATCTATCCGAGCTTACTGGAAGACTGACCGAGGTGATTAACCTTAGGCGTGATAACCCTTAGATAAGTGTCACAGAAGACTAACATCACAAGGGTTTGTGTCATTTCTTAAACATGGCAAAAGGTATTTACATCTCGTGTGTACTTAAGTATGAAGTGGCTAAAGAGATTTGAAATTAATATCCATGTACTTTAGCTGTTTCCAGTGTGCTTCTATATTATAATCTCTCTTTGAACCATCGGTAGTGCACAAAAGGTAGATTTTTTATGCTGGATAATTCTACATGTCTATAATGTACATGTAGCATAACCCCTTTATGCTCACTGTTTGTGAAATAAAATTCTCCTGACTTTGTTCAAGCTTTTGTGGCTCAGACGGCACAGAGCATCTGGATTTTTCATTCATGCACGTGTGATTTTCAAAGACCCAACATGTATTTTTTTTGCCTTTGGCTCTTTCATTAACTGATAGAAATAAATAGACCCTAGAAGCTAAAAAAGGGTATCCCGAGCAATTGCAATAATTGGCTTCATTGATATTCCAGTGTGAGAACATTATAACTCCTATATATAAGAAGATTTTCTGTTATTGATTTATACATTATTTTGATCAATTTGATAATGTTGAGAACTGAGGAGAAAACTCTTTGTGACTCTGTAGGTGCATGCATTCTCGTGTTAAAAAAAGAAAAGAAAAGAAAAGAAAATTGAATTCTCTTGTGACTTTAATACATCATACCGTAAGCGTTTGTAGCAGATGCAGGTTAACCTACAGAAATTTTCTATCTGCTGCCCATATTAATTCATTCGGATGTCATTATCTTTCGTCAATAAAGGAATATAAGCTAATTTAGGTCACTTTACTATTGGAAATGTCTACTTTTTAAAAGTTTTTTAAATATGGATTTTACAAGTATTATAGCAGTCCAAGTTACAGTACTATTGTGGTGTCTTAAATGTTATCTGCCTTGTTTGCATCTTAATAGTTTTGTTTGTACAGGTATCGTTTCTTTGGCACGTAAATGTACTATTAAGCTCCTGTTTGATTTTGTTAAAAACTATATTTTTAGTAGATTTTGATATAATTTGATGAAACATGTGATTGAAAAGTTGTGAATCCTAATGAAACACGTGATTAAAATTAATTGTTGATTTAGATTTAAATTTATATATTTTTTAGCTAAATCAAATAGGAGCTAAACAATATTAAGAATAAAAAGTGCTTAAATTTGATTATTATACTGTTTCAATGCATATTTGATGCATTGGTTTATTTAACATGTTAATAAGATATTGTTTGACGAATTATTCTAGATGTACATTTTAGTTTACATCATGGATGACATTCTTTATGTGTCAAAATTTGGCCAATGATGTGAAAGGGTGTTGGATTTATCAAAGGCTATGATGATTGTCACGTGGAAGAATGTCAAAATTAATGTAAAAATGAATGTACATGTAGCAAGCTTGATAATATTAAGAAAAAGGAAAAGCAAATGCTAAAATTGTTTGTTATAGCGTTAAGATGCATATTTGGTAGATTAGATTAACATATTATTTGGTAGACTTAATAGTGTCTCGCTTTTGTTTGTACTAATTGTTGTTTGGTATGTATAATTATGTCATTTAAATATGATTGTTACTCCAACTATTTTTCCATGTTAGTAACTGAATTTTAACTTTAAATTGATATTCTTACAAGTATTTTTGTTTAATTGCTGGATAAGTATTAGACTTAAATTAAAGCACTCACTTTGTTAAAAACAAAGTTAAAACACTTGCAACATATTCAATATTTTTAACTAGATTGAACTAAAGAAGAAGAGAAAAAAGGACTTGTGATAAAATTGGTAGTTACATTTGGTGTCTGAAAAAGGTTAGGGATACTTGTTTAAAAGTTAATTGATGCTTTTTTCCTCCATTCAAATTCTTCAAAAAAAAAAAAAAAAAAAAAAAAAAAAAACGAA